TTAATTAGGAATTTGATTCGCAACCAGCTTGGTTCAGACAATTCATCTATCAATTAAGTAACAGAAACCCATAAACCAACTCTTACATAGGTTGAACTGGTATTAAATCTGTTCCCATTTTTCGAGTTAAACCCGTTCTTGAAATTTTATATAAAAACTTTTCAGACAATTCCATTCAAAAAGCATAAATCTACATCATGAACAATTTTTTTTTTTTTGGATAAATACATCATGAACAATGAATACATATACATATAACTCTAATCACTAAATTACAACTATATAGTTACGGAGAGATTTTTTTACTCCGGTGTCTTAATCGTTAATTTTTATTTATTTAACAATTATAATTTATTGAATATATCAATTAATTGATGATTAATTTTAAATAAATTATAATAGTTAAATGAATGAAAATTAACGGTTGAGATATGAATTAAAACTTTTAAATTTTATGAATCTGGATCCTCTCATGTGAATATTCACATGACCGTGTCATGTGAAGAATCATAACCATACAAAAGTTGATCAATGGTAATAAAAGAAAAGAGAAAAAAATGTTAAAACAAATAATTACAAAACTATAAATGTTGATTTAACTTTATATGATTGTGGTCTTTCATATGACCACATCATATTTATTTTTTCATATGAGACGATGCATTTCCAAATTTTATATCGGACACCGTTTGTTAATATTATTGACTTACTGATTAATGTTAAGAATTGCGCGTGTCCGTGTTATAATTTTTATTACAAGTATAATCCTAGTACCGGTGTCACAATATACACGTACACGTACGCATAAAAAAATAAGAAAACTCATTTTTTACCATATTTGTGGCGTAACCAGCAATCACATCGTTATCAGTAGTACCATCACCATGTCCGAAATTTGGACCGTACGACCAGTAAGAAAATGTCCCACGGGAGTTTAGAAACGTGTATACCACGCCACGATCCTGAGGCTGAGACTCAGATAAGTAGGAGAACCATGATTCACGCTCAGGAACAGAGCGTAGAGATAAGTAGTTTGTGTTTGTTTGGCACGGAAAACCATTAGTTTGTGTGTTTAGACTTTGGTGCGAGTTAAGCCTCCCTTGTTTGGGTTTAACATAACAAGTTGTTCTTCGACCGTGGTTCGTTGCTTTCCTGTTACTTTTCCAAATTCCGAGTTTTCAACACTTTTCTTTCTTAATTTTTTCGCTTCAATTTAGGCTTAAAAAAAAGGCGAAATTTCAAACCAAAAGAACCATAGTATCTTTGCAGTCCCTCTGTGAACTGGATATGATATAATAGCCCGATCGATCTTGTCACATCAGGAATTAAATACTATTACATAAAACAAGACTTTTCTTTGTCGGTTTTATCTTACATATCATTATAAAAGTGTTTAAAAAAAGTTAGTTTCTTTTTCATAAATTAATCTATAGGAAAAAATATTTTTGCAGTTAATATAGATAAGTTATCTGCATTTATTCTCAAAATTACGTTCATCATGATTTCTGTCCAAAAACGATGTCGTATTGACTTACTGCAGATAAATTATCTGCAGTAACTGCAGAAAAAACGAACCCTAATCTATATTCTTTATACAATTCACTCGTAATTAATATATTTCATTGCATATAGGGATTTTAACATGGATTTTAGTTTGTCCTTTAACATGACCAGAAATTTTTTTCTACGTACACAATATTTTGTGAGCCCACACTTTAAAAAAAAAAAAAAACTATGGCACGCAAAACGAATCTCTATAACATTACACAATCACTTTCCTACAACATAACTCTTATAAAATCTTTTTAATATATATAAATTAATGGAGAATATATTTAAAAAAAAAAGTTTAACATGACATATGTTTTCAAAAACAAAATAAAGATTTAACCCACTCTTAAATAAAACAAAAAAAATTATACTTATTACATTTTTTTCATACTATCTCTTTTGTAAATAATCACTTCAACTCAAAATCTTAACCACTATCTCTTTTGGTTTACTTTTTGTGCTTTTTATTTTAATTCCACTTTAAAGTGGGGGACAGTGAGAATCGAACTTGTGACCTTGTAGTCACTCAAGCTCTGATACCATGTAAAGAACCACTTCAACCCAAAACGTTAAGGTGATGGGTGAGAGCCTTTTTAATGATTTATATTATTCACTAATATTTTAACCGATGATTTTCGTTAATCTAACGGCTATAATTTATTAGAATTTAATAATTAATTAAGAGAAATATCATTTTTGGTTCTCAGCAAATTTCACGATAACCGTTTTAGTCCCTAGTAAATAAAAAAGTTATTCGTGGTCCCTAAGAAATTCAAAATGGACCCATTTAGTTGGAATCGTGGTCCTTTACAAATTCAAAATAGACTCACATTAGTTCTCAAAACTCAAAAGGACTAAAATGGATTCACTTTGAATTTTTTATGAATCACAAATAACATTTTTATTTGTTAGGAATTAAAGCGAACATTATAAAATTTGTCGAGGATCGAAAATAATATTTACGTGTAACCCAATAAATTATAGTCATTAAATTAGCGGAGAAATTGCATTCCGATAAAAAAAAATCCTCAAATATGCCCTTAACAGAGAAGTTGCATGCTCAATGGTCGCCGTTTAAGAAGGATTTGACAACTTAAACGAGAGCCATTATTGTAGGTATGAAAATTTATTCAGAAAGGATCCACGTAGGTCGATGAGCAAAGCACTTTGTAGTACGTCCCTTTCATTCTATTGCATCGCTATAACAGTTACGTCACTCTTTATTACGATGACTTTTCTAAATTCTTACACGAAAATATTCTATTACCTAACAGTGCCAAATTTTGGAGTGCGAATTGTAAATTTAGTAAGAATGGGCTGAATTCACCGGATTTATATACGGTAAACTTACTTTTGATTTTGGAAATTTTTTTGGAATAGTAAGGAAATATAATAGATAAAGAAATGAATGATTGGAAAGATAGATAAAGTGAGATAGATAGAAAAATGTAAAAAAAAATTGTTTGGTGGGGAAAAATTTTACTGAGAAAATTAGGTAACTTTATGAAATCAACAGTGCATTAAAAGTCAGATAAACGATTTTCCGAAAAATCCCACCTTCAAATTGGGTTTCTAAACAGTGCGGATATCTATGTTTCTCATAAATCCAGACAAATTGGATAGATGGATTTTTGGTGAAAATACGTTGAAACAAACATGGTATTTCTAAAAGCCATATTTGAGAAACATAAATATCCGCTAAAAAACTCCCAACCAAACACCACCTGGCGAAAAAGGTGTTGATGTTGCCCAAAGAATCATACCCGAATAAGAATTAAAAAACAAAAGGGTTCTAATTTTTTTATTTTATTTTAAAATATTCCAATCGATTCATCTCTTCACGACTAGTCTAATTCAGAGTAGGTATTGAGATTAAGGTTTTAAATCTCTATCTAAAATAATACTGAAAAAAATCAAACACATATTTTTATTATTCACCTATTAAGTTCTCTGGTATCAATTAAGCTAGTTTGAATTCGGTAAAAATAATGGCTTGCTGATAAAAGCCAAAAAAAGCAATGTAAGTTGTTCGCATTTCCTTCTTTACTTTTGGTTACAACTTTCATCTTAATCAGAAAAAGAAAACAGAATATGTAGAAAACAAAGTAATATATTTTAATGGTTCTGTGAATTATTGGCTGCTACAATAAAAGAAGCTTCATATCCGTCAGAACTTGCACATATCTTTTCAAACACATGCAATGAGTAGTGAGTACCCATCACAGCAGTAATTCTTTTTATGCTACTTTTATTTTTTGTTATTCTTCGCTAAGTTGTATCACCATTATTCTTTTGACCAATCAAAGAAAAAAATGAGCAGATTGTGAATTTTCATAGAGAAATATAGTAAAGAGGGAAGACAGAAGCACACAAGAATTTAGCATGGAAAAAACTAATGGGGGGAAAAAAACACACGAACAGAAGAAAAAATATTCACTATGTCAAAATACTAATTACAAGGTTAGAAAAGAAGAAAAGGATAATGATGTTGCTATTTTTTATACCTAAAACCTAACTCTCTAAATACAAAACTCTCGACTCTAACTCAAAAGGAAGCACTTTTTATAATGAATAATTAAACAAAAATTGGGGCAAAAAGACTGATACCAAAATAAAATTTGGGTCACAGGGTCAAACCATGGGCCCAACAATTACATTATCTCATTAAATGAGAATTGAGATGCTTTTTGCATTGAGCCAGAAAGGCATTAGTTTGCCAAAAAAGATTGTGAGCAGCAAAACATCCAGCGTCAGTAGTTAATAGGCAAAACCAAACTCTGCAGCTGCAACAAAGAGTGGAGGAGGTTTAGAAAGAAAAACAATATATAGAGAAGCTGAGATAAGGACAGAAGGTAAAGGACAACCTTCTTTGGGACTGCGAGAGTAAAAGAATGTCTCAATCACCATTGGGGCTAGCATTCCTCACAGCAGTGCCCACCTACAAGAGGAAGGGACCAAGCCAAGGATAAGAATAAGACATGCAAGAGATCTCAACCAAAAACTTTAGAATGTCACATACGGTCAAATGCATAACTATCAAGAAATCTTATGAACTAAATATTCCAATAACTAATGCAAACTGGTTCAACTAGCCTAAAATTCTGAAATAATGAGCCAAGAACAGATATGTACTTATTCAATGAAATGGATCCAATGCTTAAGCCAGTATTATCACCTAGATAAAACATGCTAGTAGGAAAATGTTTTGTAATTAAGGGGAGTAAATGAAGAAACTGTATCATGTCTTCAGTGAATTTTTAAGTTTTAGTAAGCACAATTAGTGGCAAGGCAGAGTTTAACTTTTCGTAAAATATAAATGACATCTAAGCAAGACAGAAATAATGATGGAATTTCCTTGTTGATGTGAATTACCTTGTATGGTACATTTCGCTACTTCAGTTTCCTCAATTAATCAAGTTGATCAGACGGAATAAATGTTATAGCATTCATCAAAAGAAATTCAAATCGGTGTAATTGAAACCATGTGAATGTGGCAACAACTCTTCTACTTCAATCCTTGAACTGGAGCAACTAGAACATTTTTTGATTCGGTTGCGGCTAACAGACTCGACTTCTGCCAGGAATATGCCATAAACTGGTCTATGATCAGAGAATCTTGACTCCCCACGAACATAAGATAATTGGCGGAGGCCTCTTCCATACCACAAGATACGATCACACCTTCATGAACAAAAATTTGGATTAGATTTACATAAACAAATGATATAGTTTCAAAATAATGAGACATGACATTTCTTATGATAAAAGTATCATTCATTTGTTTCCTCTCTTCTCCGTTTACATTAGACACTAAATTTATTACATTAGACACTAAATTTATTCATACAGGCGATTATTTGCAGCAAAGAAGAAAACTACCATGCCGGGGTTCTTCTCTTTTGTTTTGAGTGCCTTTCATCACCTGCATATCTGTCTGAATTGTTAGAATACTTGTATGTGGGAGGGAAATATATTTTCCCCTCATTCCATCCTTCAAATACACGACCTCGTCTCCGTTCTATATGCAGCTGAAAGAAAAAAACTATCAAATAGTCAGTTGATATTATAAATAATTTGAGAAAAGGAGCAAAGCACTGACATACTGTAAGGGGACAAAGTATCATGCCTGGTCATTTTCTAACAAAACCTTCCAATTATGCATCTCAACAAGAGCTTTTGCTGCACGGTAAGAAAGGGCTATCCGATAATTTAAATCCCCCAGCCAAACTATTCGACTACACCAATTAAACCACTAGTTTAGGTCATCACCAGTGTATAAGTTAGGACTAAGAAGTTAATTTTATTTAGTTTCGCAATCTCCAAGCATCACATGCATGGTATATATTCAAGTCAAAAGAGATGAAGGGCTTACTCATGTTCCAGAATTGTCTGAGGAGAACTATCATCACCCACGCCATGAACCCGAGGAAACCTTGTCTTTCTGAGAATCTCCATTACATCTGAATTTCTTCTTAGCTCGTCACCCTCCTTTTGTCCAGAAGTCAAATGACTACAGACGAAGCAAAAGCTTGTTTGGTGCAAAGACATGCTAATAGATATTGAACCCTGGAAAACCCAAGAGAATGAGATTGCCTTCTCCCAATTCATTATAAACTATACTATTAAAAGAAATTTATCAAATTTACCTTGTTTCCAAGGTATCCCATTAATCCTCTACCAACACAAGACACTTTCATATTGTGAACATCATCTCTTATATCACTTTTCACCCAAACAGTTAGAAATATCCCAACCATTTGCTTACTAGCAACCAAACAGTATCTTGAGTGCCCTGTCTGTCTATCTCTGTCCTCCATAGGGAAACAACCTCTATATGACATTGGTGAGTATTGTGTCATAACTGGTGAGTCACCAGGTCCATTTTCATCATCTGAGGAAGCCCATCTATAATTGGGGTCATAGTCACTATTCCTGTGACCAAACATCATTCTATCACAGACGCTGAGACGGCGATCAAGGCATGCTTGTGGCAATGACATGTCATTGTCCATTCTCATACTATGACTCAAGGATTGGAATGACCTGCGATGGAAGAAAGAGGTTGCCTTCTGCCTCATTGATCCCTCAAAATCATCATCTAACTCTACAATAGGATCAGGGAGCGGCGAAGTAGTGTGGCATTCACCACTTGTTCCAGGAAGACTGTTTAGGGTTTTCCTAATAAGAGATAGCCATTTTCTGGCAGGGCCATTGTCTTCTGTGCCCAATACGTTTCCGGCATTTAGAGGTACAATTTCTTGAAACCTGAGTGCAAGAGAACACAAACTATTTTAGATTCTGAATTTTTATCGAGCTAAATGAGAGGACACATAATGTAATCAGAAATTTACCCAAGAACATAAATATCAGCAGGCGGAGAGGTGTGAAGCCAATCTTCCAGATTCAAATAACTCGGAGGAGATTTTCCAGCTACATTCCAAGTGGCAACGAAGATTCTGTATGCAAAAGGAAGTAACAATTCTTCTAAACCTCATTACAATAACATGGAGGGAAATAATTAAGCACAATGCACAGCAACATGAAGCATACCTATAGTTATGCACATCTGTAACCTGAGCTGCATCAGGGTCAATCTTACCTCGCCGCATTCTCTCCGAGTGCCTTCTCTTTGCTCTCTCTGTGCATTAAAATATAAATTATCTGTCCAAGAGATACAGAAGGAGACAAAAGAATAGAGGGGAAAAAATAAAAGCAAAGACAAAAGATTCCTGAAATTGTTGGATTACTGCTTACAAAAATTAATTCTTATCTTTATCTAGGTGGGGTTTAGGAATTGTGTGGTCCTAAGAAATAGCGAGGTGTATAGGTACTGAACCTGTTTTGCTTTTCTTGATAGTGCATTTCTCCCTCTGTGAACAGTTGCTCCTCCACTCTTCATCAACACCTGAAAAAGAAAAACCATAAAGTTAATAAAGCTGCGCTCTTTCCACTGTTGAATTTATCAAACACACAAACCCCCCCCCCCCCACCCCAAACCCAAAAAAAAACTAATGTTAGCAAATGGTACAAACCATGGAAGGAAGAAAACAACAAATTGCAGATCTTGGGTTGCATGTTGCAGACCCATTGAAACAAAACAAAAACTGTTATACAAAGACAAACCAAGTTCCAGAAGAAGAAGAATGGAGTACATAAAATTTATTTAACTAGAGGGAAGAGAAATATCATTTGTGTTTTTGACATGAAGCCTTAGATTCCCAATCCCAGAGCCCTTAATTACATAAAAATCATGAGAAAATTGACCAGTCACCTCCATGAAGGACATCATCTGCCTGAAAGTCCTCGGCTTTGCTCTTGATATTGAACCACTTCTTGACTAATGATTTGGGCCATGAAAGCTTCAACAAGAACAACAGGGTAAGCAATGGCAGAACACAAACGCAAAGGAATTTGAAGGAGAGGCAGTAATCATTTTTCAAACCTTGCTTTTCTTCGAGTTCTCATCTCTCATTGTTGGGACAACTTCATATAGCTTTCTGGATTAACAACAGAAACAATGGTGATGATGATATCTAATAATCCTTCTTCAATGAACCAGATGGGATTTGCTTAAAGAGATGTTCAAGTTGAAACAGTGAAGTGAGCAAGTACAATAAGACAAGATTGAAAACTCAGGACCCTGAGAATACGGGTTTCTGGTTTGTTTATATCTATATTCAAACAGATAAAAGGAAGGAAAAAGACATAACGGCTTTGACGATCAAAACAATGGGTTGAAACCGCAGAAACTATAGAAAAAAAAAAAAAAAAACACAACCAAGTTGCGGGGCAATCCTTAGTTACTAAGGTAATGTGGAGAAAACAATTCAGAGAACAAAGCAAATCCCAGTTTGGCACCAGTTTAGTCAATGTAGTACAAATCAAAACACTCACTCTCACACGGTAGTGTTTCCCTCCTTTTACTTCCACTTGTGTGTTTAGAAGAAGAAGATGACAATGTACAAGTTATAAACAGAGAGAGAGAGAGAGAGAGAGAGAGAGAGATTCTCTCTTGCAAAACAAAAACCTCGTTGTGGGTACAGAGCAAAGTATCGAATTTGAAATGGAATAAAGTGAAGGCAAGCTTCGCTCTCTCTCGAGGCCTTTTACCCCAAATCCAAGACCGACCAAGCTTAGGGACTTGGAGAGAGAGTGAGAGAGAGAGAGAGAGAGAGAGAGAGGCAATGGTTAAACTGGTCACCCACTCACACCCAACCCTGTCCAAACACAATTTAAAATGCACTAAAAATGTGCACTTTCACTCACAGGATCAGTTAAGTTAGGCTTGATCTTCTAACCAAGCAGTAGTACACTAGTACTATTACTAGTATACATCCCTTCTCAATTTTGGTCTAATATCAGAGAAAAGCAGTTAAAGACCAGAAAAAAAGATAAAGATGATGTGCCGAGTGTTGTTTGTTTCCCTTTCCTTCTTCCTTACAAAAAAAATATTTATTGTAGTTTGACTGTAACCGTATGTATACACCATCATATTATTATGGATTAGTTTTTTCTGCACTTCATGTAAATAATTTATGGCTTTATTGTTTCAACTTTGAAGATAAATAAATTATTTATATTCGCTTTCAAAATAATGTCGTTTTTTTGTTGAAAAATTAAAAAATTATAATTAAAAAGACTATTATAACCCTAAAATAATTTATAACTACCAAAATATCTTGATTTCCGCCTCAAAACGACGTCGTTAGGTAAGTTATGTACATTGACCGTAGAAAAAATGAACCCATAATTTATTTATATTGAGTCCAAAACGAGATTATTTTGGAACAGAAATCAAAGTATTTTTATAATTATAATTTATTTTAGAGTTATAATATTTTTTCTTATTATAATTTTTTAATCTTTCAATCCAAAATAACATCATTCGTTTTGAAAGTAAATATAGATAAGTTATTTACGTTCACTTTAAAAGCATTAAACCATATTATTATATACTTATCTATTGTTAAAACACTCCTTTGGGTTTTAATTTCTATTATATTTTCACAAATATATTTAGGCTATGCTACACAGATAGAAAATCTTATCTATCAATTTTCGTTTGTACAAAAGCCTATTACAGCCAGTCACCCAAAAAGAAGAGAGTAATCGAGTCTGCCTCTTTTGGTAACGTATCTTTGCAAAGTTGGAGAGAATGTTTGGTGTTTGAAAGAAAAGTGGAGGACTACTACTGATTTTGATTTCAAGGCTTCATATCAAAGCCTTTGATAAATATGCTACAAGTATTTATTTATTTTTAAAAAAAGATATGCTAGTATAAAAAATAAATATTATAAAATTATTATAAATTAATGCAAAAGTGTAATATATTATATGGAATAAGACACAGAATGAATTTGACCCCCACCGTCAATGTATATAAGGAATAGATCAAAACCAAAGACCAAAGAGGGGATGGATAAGACCAAAGAACTATGGTCAAATGAAGTATTTTTTTTACCAAAAAACAAACATGTCCCCAAGACAAAAGGAAAATTTTAACCAAACATGGGGTCTCGTATTGAGTACTTTTCATTTGCTGCAAGCTCGAATTTGCACATGGACTGTATTGATTTATTATTGTTTGCTTTTGGTGACGCGTCGTTCAATAAACTAGTGATTCACATTTAGCATAGATATAGGATCTTGTTAGGCCATTAGGAGAGTTGCTAACCCTATTTCATCTCCCTTCATATCCCACGCGATTTCCTTGGGTCTTGTGAAGTGAAACTATCTATACAATCATACTTTAATGGAGTAGAAGCACTTAAGTGCTATCTTAATGGTCTAATCTTAGTAACATGGCACATATGGAAGATTGTGTCTCCAATCCCTCTTAGCTTAAGATTCTCATTTTTATAATGACTTTTGTTTTTAGCACTATTTTTTTTTTTTTGGTGGGCGTTTTTAGCACTAAATTAACTCGTAAGTTTTAATGTATTTTTATTGGGAAAAAGAAATATTATTTTAAAGGATATAAACTTGAGTCTTTTTAGGTGATTTACACAATATGAGAGGTTATACTTTGTGTAAATATGAAAAATTACTTTTTTTTTCTCTCTCCAGTCATATCGCTCATGAGTAAAGTGAAAAAAAAAAACTTTTCAGATTTACAAAAAATATAACTGGTCATACTTTGTGCAAATCAATACAACTTAAAAAAAAAAGTCACCAGAATACAGTCATAAACCCTATTAATTTTAGAGAAATAGTTTTCTCATTTTACATGAGAAAATTTTCTCATGCTACACTCATAATATATGAGTGAGTCCCATCTTGACTTTTTTGACTTTTCACCTTTTTGTGGACCCCACTCATGTATTGTGAGTGTAACATAAAATGAAAAAATTAATTCCCTTAATTTTAATAATGTTTCAACCATGGGAAGGAGAAAACTATTAAAGTAATAGAGTTGACGACAGAAAGCCTCAAGCAACCCTAGCTCAATCTTCCACTAACAACCATATAAACCTAAAGCTTAGCCCCCAATTATTCATAGCAAAGCTTGTCCATGTGGCTGTTCCAAATTAAACAGACCCACTATCGTACTATACATTGGAGTTTGTAGAGATAGATAAATAGAGGGGAGAGAAGTACTAGGAATTTGACGAGTTTCAATTTTGTCAATTTTTAATAGCCTGAGTTAGTATTATTGCTTATATCTAATCAATCATTTTTTTTTTTGTATAAACAATCATAAAGATTCCTGTATTTTGAGTTTGCTTAATTAAGTTGTTGCCCATGTTCTTGAACAAAATGCACTTGTATTTTTCCTTCCTTTTAAGTGGTCTTAGGAATCATTCACCAGACATTAGGTTCCAATACAGGGGAAAACATTTCATTGGGTCTAAAGCGCTTGATAATGTGAACTTGTTGACTGAGAGAGCCATAAATCTGAATCTGACAGGTTCAAGATCTCTGTAGCATGTGGTTTTTTCCCCCCTTCTTTATATGCTCGCTAGAGAGACCAGCATCTAAATTGAAAGATAAATGGGTCCCATGCATTTACAATACAGTTTGAATCTTCTAATTTGCCCAGTGAAAGGTTGCTGCCTTGAGAATTGACACAACGTTGTCAATAAAATTGGGATGTATCATCATCCACTTGAAGACTCTATAATTGAATTCAATGATGAAATTTTTATGATTCTTGATCAGTGTTTTCCTTTCTCCTCTTTTATTTAATGTTTTTTTTTTTAATACCAACCCTTAGTCAAGATTTAGCAAAAATTTCATTATGAAAGTCTAGAATGCTCAAGGGTAGTACAATTAGTAAGTGAGCTAAGTTGTGCCTAAAGAACGAATTCGTGGACCTAAAAGTGTTTGGTTCAAATCGCAGGCAGAATAATTTAGGCAAATAACATAAATCTTCATGCTCTATGTCACGAAAAAAATTAATATAAAAAATCTAGAATGATATTCGAAGAATCTATAATAGAGTTAATGGAGAGAAAAAAATAATTTAATAAAAACTTGTGAGTAAATGGAAAAATTAAGTAAATTATTTTTTTTTTTTAATTTTCTATGACTTGCAGTCTATCCTCCAATTGTATTCGCCACGTGGTTGTCACACTGCAGCCGTTAAGTTATTTATTATAAAAAAGAAAGTTTGGTAGATAGAATCAACTCAAAATCCTTTATTTTCACAATATATTTATTTGTTTAGACATTTCTTTTTCTACGAGGAATAACATTCTCATAATTCTCATGTTTTCTCTTTTTTCTTTTTAAAAAAAATATTGAACAACTATTATTATTATTTATACATGTCACATAGAGCGATACGAAATATTAAGCATCATCATACTTTCGTTTTTTTAAATGTACATGTAAGAACTCACAACAGATTTATTTCATAGAATAGTCAGTAGTCAAAAAACTCGATGACCCTTTCATGGGTGTTTTATAAGTGTTTTTTTTTTTCCTCAGCCAAATTAGGTAAAAAGAAAATGGTAGATGGATTAACGAGGTAGTCAAAGGATGCATCTTTAATTGTACTTTGGCCAAAGTATCTCCTTCTCTGGGATGTAATATGTGCTTCTTTCTGTTTCTTTTGCTTTTTCAGTTTGAAACGTCCCTTATTAAGCCACCATTCCCTTTTCTCCTAGACCATCTTCATAACCGTTTGTTTTGAAGGTGTCAACTGGGCCTTTTTGTTTTTGTTTTTTATATTCTTCTCTTTGGTTGAAATCTTTTTGAATTTTTACGATTTATTATTTTTCATGTTGTAAGAGATAAATTTATTTTCTATGCATATATAAAAATATATGTACCCATATTTTCTTTTTCTATCTCTTTTTTTCACATGGATCTACTGAATCCCATGTTTTTATATTTTATCTCCTATAACATTCGAACATTAATCCCATATTTTTTTATCCCGTGTCATTTTCTTCACAATCCGGCAAAAAAGAGGTACGCCTCTGGCCTGTTGTAAACTTTTACTTGGTGATGTAGACGTCAAAATTTCTCAACTGCACT